ATCCCTTAGTTCATCATTTTGACCATTTTTTGTTTTGGCTTTCTACTAAAACAATTTTGACCAAAATGAGAGTTAGATTAACATGCTTATTCAACTTTCTGATTTGAAATCATGCGAGTTAGGTTATGAGCACTAAAAATTTTCCTTTTTGGGTCCAAAGAATGGTCCAGTTTTGAAAAAAAATGGGATAATTTCCGAGAGAATTAGTCAACCTCAGTAAAAATTCTCAAAAATTGTTTTTGCAAACGGCCACTGCTTAACGAGCTCGGAACCTACTCTTGAGATGCGCAACCTCAGATCCGAAGGAAAATTACCCCTTGTCTGAAGGACACTGTATGGCAACGGAAAGGTGCCCTTTGTTTGAATGGCACCGCAGCGCATTGAATCGGAAAGTTGCCCCTTGTTTGAATGGCACCACAATGCGTTGTAGTCAGTCCTCAGAGTGACGAACACAACCAAACTCTTGGATAAGGCAAAGATGATCAAAACCATTACATGGACACAATCGATTTGGAAGTGTTTATGGCTGGACTTCAGGATGAAGTTGCCTACGTATCCCAAACATGGGAATCAAGCCTTACGTACTTCCGGGTTAAGGTACACTCGGGTATTAACCTCTCTTTTTGCGCTCTAACTTTTGCCAAGGCCGCCCTTTCTGGGTTTTCAACCTTGCGAGCTCTGTTTTTCTTTTCGTTTCATTTCATTTCTTTTTCTTTTTTTTTTATATCTTTTCTTTTTCATTCTTTTCTTTTCATTTTCTTCATTTTTTTCTTCTTTTCTCTTTTTTTTGTATCTTTTCTTTGCATTTTTTTTCTTTCCTTTGCTCTAACTTTTGCCTGGGTCGCCCATTCGGGTTTTCGGCCCAGCGAGCCTCTGAAGGGTAAAAGTGTAGCTTTGTCCAAGTTAAATGGTTTTGGTTTTAGGATCCTGAAGTCATCTGAATCTAGGAGAGTGGCTGCTGTTCGCTGACGATGCAGGAGTCCATCCAACGGGGGGCTGATTTTGCCCCTAGTGCTGCTGATAGGAACTCAGTTGTTCTTCAACAGAAATTGTCTTCTTTCCTCCCTTCTGGGATTTGGCATCTTGCCGACCTTCTTTGATTTGTGGAATGATCCATCTTCGCTCTTCGAGCACATTTGAAATTCTTTGCCCCTAGTTCTTAGCACCATCATCCTTCAGCGAAGCAGAAGAAAATTTTAAAATAGAATAAATATAAAAAAATACATATTGAGAGATAACAGTGGGAATGGCTGCTCCAGTCGCACTGAACTGAAAATAATACATAAGTATCGGAAACAAAAATATAGCAAAGAAATTACCAATACCTGTAAACAATCACCTGCAAAAGATGTCTCATATAGTATGCCAATTTGTGCTCCTTCCAGACAATAAATCACCTGCTCCAAACAATTACAAAGGTAAATATTAAAGAGAGAAACAATAATGAAAATAGCACAGACAATTAAGCAAGCAACCAAAATAATCAGATTTACTCATTTGATCAACCATTCCATTGTCAAATACTATGTGATGCAGCAGAATAAATCACACGAGGCTAGATATTAACATTAATTGATTCAGAGAGAAAAAACCAATATAGGACATTGACATTTACCAGTAGCAGCAGATACATTTAATTACAAACAGATTAAATAAACACATCTGCTTATGTAGGACATCTCTGTTTTTATGTTTTTGATTTCACTTGTTTAAAAAATAAAAATAAAAATAGAGGAATTGAAGAACTGAAGAAGAAGAGCTATCCAGCCTTGTATTTGTATTTAGCTGGTCTTTTATGTGATTACATGTACATGGGTTTCCTAACTTGAACAAAAATCACAAACAGATTTTCTTCGAGGCTCATCTTTTGTTTCTAGATTGAGGTGAAAGAATCGAAATAGTGATGGCATGGGGTTGAGATTTAAAAAATCATGAAGCTAATTTGAGGGTAACCTAATCTAGAAACAAAGTAATGCTTAATGTTCATTATAACTAAAGATGATCCTTCACCTAATTAGACAACATTTTCGTTTTAGGTCTTTCCATTTCATCTAAAAGAAAAATCATGAAAAAAATTGTGATCTTGCCATTGAATTAAGATGGTCAGTACTAAGATTGTAAGATAGCAAAGCATTGCTGACTTTCCAAAATGGCCCAAATAGCTACTTTCTAGATGTGAATCAACAAATAAGAATGCTTGATTACTATTCACTATTTAGATCTTAGACTTATGTTGTTTTTCCCTAGGCAATAGAGTATTCATAGAACAAATAAAGCTAATAGAGTAATATAATTTTATGCACAGATATTACATGAAACAAACACGCTATTGTGAACCAAGACAATCAAACAACACAGGAACAGAACAAATCTTTCTATATAAGGTTCAAGATAACCAGGTCAATATACAAGCAAAGTAGGAAGAATTTTGAGTAATTGAATCTAAACCGTTCTTATTGAATTAATACATTCGCATAATTGATATGAATTATAAATTAGGAAGAAGAAAACTAGGGTATAAACCTTTGGTTGTGTGTTTCTTGGTAAAGATGTTCATGATTTATAGAAAAAATGAAACAATCAACAATCAAAAATAAAAATGAAGCAATCACAAACACACAAGGCGATGCACAATGACATATAATTGAATGGGACTTCCATTTTTGTATATCCAAGTTCAAAAGTACATATGATCATACTATAACTATTTTTGTACACATCAATAAAAATAATGAGTTTGCAAACTTTGATGTCTAATTTCCTAACAATGTTAGACACTAAGCTTCATTAATTTGCACGAAACGAACAATTATAACCAAATTCATCCGATAAAACCTAACATATTTGTATAATTTCCCTCGATCAATTTTGAATCCTGTTATTACTATCACTGAATCAAGCTGAATTTGATTGAATTGGGTTTATTTATATATAGGCTCTGAAGGGAGGGTGGAGAGAGAAAGTGCAATTGGCCACCAAATTTGGGATCACCAGCGCCGACAAGCCGTTGGTACGTGGCAACCCGGATTACGTGCGGGCTGCGTGCGAGACCAGTTTGAAGCGGCTGGAGGTGGAGTGCATCGATCTCTATTACCAGCATCGGAATGACACTAGCGTTCCCATTTAAATAGGGATCAAACCGTGACTTCAATGGGAACGCTAGTGTCAGTCCGATGCTGGTAATAGAGATCGATGCACTCCACCTCCAGCCACTTCAAACTGGTTTCGCACGCAGCCCGCACGTAATCCAGGCTGCCACGCACCACCGGCTTGTCGGCGCTGGTGATCCCAAATTTGGTGGCCAATTACACTCTCTCTCTCCACCCTCCCTTCAGAGCCTATATATAAATAAACCCAATTCAATCAAATTCAGCTTAATTCAGAATTGATAGTTAAAAGGTTTGAATAAATGGAATTGAAATGGAAGTAGATGTTACCTTGCTGAGAAGGAGTTCGTTGTCACCATAGGCTTCGGAGGTGTCGAGGAAAGTGACGCCGGAGTTGATGGAGTGGTGGATGAGCTGGATCATGTCTTCTTCGGGCTTTGGAGGCCCGTAGATGCTTGACATGCCCATGCAACCAAGTCCCTGTGCTGATACCTCTAGACCTTGTGAACCCAACTTCACCTTCTTCACTTGAACCATTTTTCTTCATACAAATTTCTTCAAAATCCTCTCTCTCTCTCTCTCTCTCTCTCTCTCTCTCTCTGTGTATATACGTATGTATTTATAGTTGCAGAAGAGGAGTGAAATGAAGTGCAGTGGCCATTAAAGAATAGAACTGCCAACATCACAGATTACGTTCAGAATCGAAATCTATAATTATATAATTATAGGATAATGCTATGATAAACACTATGGTGCAGACCGTGTACCCACCACCTTATAATTAAAAGAAAAGATAATATAATTTTAATTTTTTAACTTATAATTAAAAAATAGCATAATTAAATATAATATGAGATATAATTAAAAAAATTTATAAGCCATAATTAAAGAAAAACTAATCATAATTAAATAAGAAAACAACATAAATAGAAATGTATATGGTACACTCTTAAAAAGATGTATATTAAATTTTTTCATAAGTTATATTACTCTTCAAAGGTATGAACCTTATTATTTATGTTTATAGTGTATGTTACCGAATTTTTTATAGGAGTTATGATGATTTATAATTTAAAAGTGAAATTACATATTTTTGTGATAATAGTACGTATTTTGAAGTATTATTAAATATTTGTATTTAAAAAAGTTTGGATAAAAAAATGTGTAACATTATCAAAAAGATGCATAACACTACCATAAAATGCGTAATTTCATTTTTGAAGAACAAATTATCATAACTCCTACCAAAAAATATATAACATTTATCACAAAAAAAAAGCATAGCATTTACCACAAAAAATGTCTAACCGTGTGCGTATGGTTGTAGACGTCCCCGAACGCCCCGGGAGGATGAGTTCCCGTTCTGTTCATTTGGGCTCACTACAAGTTCGGACTCTCAAATTGTCACGGTTCTTCCCAAACGCCCCGGGAGGGTGAGTCCCGTTCTGTTCATTTGGGGTCACTACAACTCAGGACTCTCAAATTGTCACGGTTCTAAATCTGAACCAAACAGTCCAAATCTGGCAAATTGCTTTGAGAAAACAGATTTTTTGAAAGAGAAGTGCCAAACATGGACTGCTTTGCCAGATACAGAGTCGCCACCTAAATATTTTATTTTGGAAAGAATTTAGGAAACCCTAACTTGTGCCTAAGGCCACGTGTCCGTCATCACCAAAGTTACCTTTGGCATCGGGGAACGTTGGGATACGGATTTGCAGGAAGGTCACTGCATGAGCACCCCTGCCGCGCCGACTTCAAAGATCGGCCTCTAACTAACCATGATATCTAGTTTTTGAAAACAGTTATGCGCTTCTTATTCCAGTTTTGGCTTAGATTTACTATGTGAATGGGGCGCAACAGCAATACAAGGTTAGTAGACTGGATCACCTGTTGGAACAAAACATTCTATGCTTGTATTTTGTGAAAGTTGATTTTGCGTGACTGGCGCAGAGTTAGAAAATGCAGACAGATTTTGCCACCCTCGGGTGGGCTTTAGAAAATATAATTTTGCCACTATCTAGTGGGCTTAAAACTCACAGTGAATGAATTGTTCCAATCCAAATAACCCATCCTTCACCCACAGGCATTGAGGCAGTTGTATCACATAAGCACATAGCCTCATGGTAAGCATGCTATCATGGCAGTCACTCACACGCATGCAAGGATGCTAAAGAATAAAACTTACCGAGTACTCCAAGCCAAAACAGAAGCTAATTAGAAATCCATGCATGATCCTAATTATACAGAAATGCCTAATGCAACACATGCAAAAATGCAACTATAGCAGGCTCGGCTATTCTAAACATGGCATATGAAATGCTACAGCTAACATGTATTCAACTTTGGAATTGAAATACAATACAGTTAGTATGATGCGCCGAGCCCGGTGCATGCAAGACAGATGAAATGAATGCAAATATGCTATCATACTGTATGCTCATTGAAACATTCCAATCATAAGCTGGTAAATAAAATGGAGAAAGACGTGGGGTTGGAAGACATACATCACACACACGCACACTTATTACAGTTGTGCCCTCACTCGGAGGGTCCGAATAAATAATATACAATCCCAAATGAATAATTACAGTCCAAACATGTACAAAACCCTAATTAATTAACAAATTAAATTACGAAAACAATAAATTGGCATGCAAGCTAGGGACTGCCTCAAATCTGCTCCAGATGATGAATGATGCATGCTCCGGTTGCCTTTGTCGGAAAATCTCTTGTGATGCCCCGGTTTGCCTCTGTTTGCAATTGTTCTTGGAATGCGTGCCAAGCTCCGGAAGGCTGCCGATTTCTGATTTGCTGCAACAGAGAGCAACAAAGGGGCATGGCAAAGCATTTTCATATATGTATGCATGACTACTCTTCAGGGAGTGTAGTCCTCGATCCTCGTGCCACCAATCACGCATATCGATGCATGATGGCCGAGGAGTCGAATTGCACGACTCAATATGAAATGAATGCACATATAAACACGACAAGACCTAAACTCCATCATGGACAATCCGGAGTGTCGGTGACTGGGAATTGAGACACGTTCCGTCACTCGAAGTACGAAATGTTCCTCGTTTCCCGTGCTCGGGCTAACTCCGATCCAAGCACAATGCAATATGCATGACATACATGAATGCAACTAATATACAACCTAGCATGCACAATGCTATGAGATGCCATACACAATGCACGATGTAACAAGGCATACACAATGCTCTAACATACAACCTAGCATACGCAATGCTATGAAGCGAAATGGCATACACAATGCATAATGGACTTACACCAACATGAGTGGACCTCAGCCACACTCACATCAGTAGCCATTAGATGAAAAATGAGACTCTTAAGATGGAAATGAGGCAACCGAAATGCATACAAACATGTCCAATGCATGGACCGATCCTAAGATACAACACGCAACTCTAACTAAGCATGGAAAATGATGAAACACGGCATATGAACATGCAAATTCCAACGCTGAAGTATGATGCTAAACAGCCCCAAAACATGAAAAGTGGCACCCGATGCATGGAATGAACTCCGAAACTCGAAACTAGGCACACGAAATGACTTACAACTATACAAAGCATGCATTATTTGATCATGAGGCATGAAGACAGATGCAAGACAGTCCCAAAACATGCATATTTCCAGTTTATAATAAGTCTCAAAAATGAACACAAATAGGGCTAATCTATCATGCAAAAATGGCCCTAAAAGAGAGATTAAACACAAAGGGACAGCAACTGGCCCCAAATGGCAAAGAGCCCTTCAACAAATTTTAATAGGGGCTCAAAAAAAGGCACTTTACAGTTTACATCAAGCCACGAAAATAATCACAAATAAGGCCAAACTATCATGCAAGAAAGGGCCTAAAAGAGGGGTAAAGAGACAAGTGATAGCATGAGGGAGAGCCCTTCAACAATGTTGAAGAGGGGCTTAAAACAAGTTATTTTAAAGTTTATGACCGAGTCCAAAACAAATCAAAAGTAAGCCTAAAATGCTATGCAAAAATTGACTTAAAAGAAAGATAAAGAGGCAAGTGGTAGTAGGAGACCTCAAACAGCAGGAGGTCCTTGATCAAACATGAAAAGGAGCTCAAAATATGACTATTTACAGTTTGGGTCAGAGCCCAAAAAAGCTAGAAAGTATGGCTTAGATACAAAGCAAAATAAGGCAAGAAAAGAAGAGAAGGGGACTTACCCGTGAAGACCAATGAACCAGCAGCTCTTGGACCAAATTTCTGAGCCTTTAACCTCTCCAAAACAATCCCAAAGTGCTGGAATGAAAGATGGAGGCCTTGTGCTAGAAGTTGATGTAGAAATGGCCAAGAACCTTAGGTTTTGAAGGGTTTGGGAGAGAGAGATAGGGAGAGAGCTGAAAATTTTTTTAGAGAGAGAGGAAATTCTTCTTCCTCCAAGTTGTATCTCTCTTCTCTTCTCTCCTTGTCTTTTTTTTTTTGTCAAGAAGCTTGATTGATATAGAGATATATCAATCTGCAGCTCCTCAGAGCTCCCACGTCCAGGCATGGGCTGAGGTATGGCCTGGAATGACAGCTGCCAGCTGTCTGCAGAAATATCTATTGAAAACCACATTTGGCCGGCCGGCCATCAAAGTGGCCGACCGGTAGTCAAATTGGCCGGCCGACCATCACATTTGGCCGATTGAAAATCAAGGTGGCCGGTGGGTAGGAGACTTGGTCGACAGGCTACCCCCTTCCCTCAAGAACACATCCACAAGCTCTTGGTGCAACCAAGCACAAAACAGAGAAGTTAAGAGATTCTAAGGCAAGGCGCACAGCCATGACTTTTTGAAACTCAAAACAAACACAAGCATGGATAATCATATCCCGATTATTAGCCTAGAATTACATACAAGGCACAATGTCAACACACAAACATACAAAACATATGGCATGTTAAGCAACCAAAACAAGGAGAAGAATACGTGCCAAATGCAACATCATTTCAACATGCAACAACATGTCATAAGCTAAGCATGCAACAACATGCCAAAGGGTGGACTTAAACTAAATTAGGCAGCCCTTAAACAAGCCTAAAACAGTGGCCAATGCTACG